CGAGATTAAGAATGTATGCAGCCAACTCCCCCATATCTTTTTATGGGATAAGCACAGGGACAACTTAGCCGATTAATAGATTTATATACAACACTTTACGATATACGAATCGTCAGGCACATTTTTCAACCCATAATTCTATACAGAAAACGTCGATTTTATGCTGAATCCGCTTACCTGATTAAAGTTACTTAACTATTTGTAGCCCGAAGCTCGTATAAATAATATTTAAAAATTTCGTTCGTACATCAAAGAAATCAACGCGTCTCTATTACAAAGATCAACTGATAAATAATGTTAAGAAAACAATAACAATTTTTTGAGAATTTAACAAAACCCATAAATACACTATGTGGACAGAACACAGTTATTTAAAGTTGAAGCAGATGATGCATTTAATTACGTAAAGTGTTATATTTAATGATACTACTTCGACTGCAGAAGGTATTTAGAATCAAATGACGTTGGATGATAAAATGGAAATGAACGGGGAGGAATCAGTTGTGATGTTTCTGAGGTCAAGTATGATTGAGTGCGCAGGGAATTCAGCACGCATGGGAGATAAGTAATGCGTACAAATTTTAATCGGAGAACCTGAAGGAAAGATACTATTTTGGAGAGCTAAGCGTAGATGTAACGACAGAATTCAAAGCACCTTAAAATAAAGTGTGTGATGATGGATGAATTCAGCTCGTTCAGGACACGGTCAATTGGCGGACTCTTGTGAACATGACGAACCTTCAGGTTCCATACGAAAAGCGGAATGTCTTGACTAACTGAGCGACTATCAGTTTTTCTCCAAATCGATGTCGGTCGGCAAGTTGAAGGTACTAGATCACTATGTCTGACCTGTTGGGATAGTAGCAACTCCATGATGACTATTTTGAGTTAAGTTTACAACGACGTTAGGTTAGTTTAAGTTAATTTAAACAGCCAAGAAAAAAGTTAATTAATCTTCTTTACAGAAAATTAATATGAAGGTATATGACCTTACAAATCATAACAATGCTGCTTAGAAGTCTTACTTTTCTCATTGCACCTCCTCTGGTGTGTAAAATATGAAAAGAAAATTAGACATTTAATGAGCTCCTATTTTAACCATCATCACCTAAAGAGCAGAACAGTGTTCACTGATCACCACTCCAGTTTAAGTGATGACAGAACACACTGTATGGGGTAGGGGTTTCAAACTTCTTGTGCCTGATAACCCTGATAAAAGAAAAGTTTGGTACCCCACGCAAAGGAAACGTGGAAAACCACAACCTACATCTGTATTGCTGATAGAAAAGAAAGTGCATAGTAGGCCTACAGCTTGGTTATATTAATGTTAAATGCGGGAAGTATGAAAATTAATTTTTAAAATGGTTTGTAGCACTGGATCGCGTTTAATTAATGCTGTAAGTATGCATATGAATGTAAATTCATGACAACCCTGAGAGCATCAATAGTACCCCATGGGGTACCGGTACCACAGTTTGAGAACCGCTGGTTTAGAGAAAACTATACCAAAGCATACCCTAGAAATCTGACATCACAAAAGAACACATACAGCTGCATCATTTCAAGGATATTTGATACCAATTACTTTCGTTCCGAAGATATTTCTAACAAACATTTTAATTATTATGAAACTGGTATTTCCTTCTTTGCGAAGAGAGAAGGTGTATGACGGAGGAGATTCCTACAAACACTTAAAGGTCACTGGCGATGGTGGGAAGTTGACAATGAGAGGAAACAACAGTAGTCTTAGAAAACTTGGAACAAAGCAACGAGCGCCGAAATGTCAAAGGTCTTTGTACCTGCAGCTATTAACAACGCACAGAACCGTACTACAATACAATGGACAAATGATGTATGTAGCAAGGAACATGAAACGACCATCTCACTAGTAAAGCAATTTGTCCAGAAATGATAATATAAAACTACAGGGTATGTTAGTATGCGTCCAAGAAAACCCTCCACCCTGAGCCAGTTGCATCCCGTCTCCACCTTCTTACCCTATTTTTCTAAGCTAAATTGTAATGTTATTCTTGAGCAACGCATTAATCTCCGAAGCTGTCGTCTCTTTCCTTGAGGTTTCACAACTAAAATTGAGTTTGTATTTCTTACTTCTCCACACGCGTGCTACATGTACCGCCATCCTTTATTTAATAACCCTAACAATCTTCAACCCTGCAACATGAAGTTAGTTTACAGTTATGAACACGTGTCCAAAGTAACGCATGCCAAGTCCTTTGAAAATAAAGAATGAATCCCACAACGAACTGCATTACATTCTATGAAGAAACAACAATGGCTATTTTTCACTCTAAATCCCTCCATCTCACTGCAAAAGTTACTTCAAATTAAATTTCTGCTAGTACTAACCTCCGGTATCTGCAGATTTGTATACAAATTTAATTAAAGTCCATCACACATGCCGAAGGTACTCAACACAGGGTCACACTTACAAGCCACATACGAGGTGCGATCGGAAAGTTTCAATACTGTGTCAATAGCGGGCGAACCGGATGTAGTACGAGCTTCTGCCGCTAGGGGGTGCGGCCTACATTCATAGTGAATCAGTGAGCCAGCCGGCATTATCGAATTAGCATTTGTTTCTTAGTTACGGGCGTTTTGGTAGTGCATTACACCGACCCTCCTGCGATTTCGGAATGGCGTGTGCATCAAATTTTGCCAAAGACTCGCCAAAACGGCTACGGAAACCTATGAAATGCTAAAGCAAGCATTTGGGGAGGCCGCAAACTTTTGTGTGGCATTCACGTTTTAAAAATGACCGAACCTCTGTCGATGATGACGAGAGTTCTGGACGACCATCTTCGAGCACAACGCCCGAAAATGTTACCAAGATTCGGCAGGCCATTCACGAAGATCGACGTCGTACCATCAACGACTTGTGCGACATTGTTGGGATAGACTATGGGACCTGTCAGCTGATTCTAAAGGAAGAACTCCACATGCGACGCATCGTGACAACGCGCCAGCGCACACCGCCCTCAAAGTTCGGCAGTTTTTGGCCTCAAACACCATGGCCGTCATCCCGCACCCTCCTTATTCACCGGATTTAGCTCCGTGTGACTTCTTCCTCTTCCCAAAGATGAAAATTCAGCTAAAGGGAAGGAGATTTGAGACGATAGAAGAGATTCAGGCAGAATCGCAGATGGTGCTTGATATATTGAAATAATAGTAGATCTAGATGCCAACCTCTTGACCCTTGAAACTAGCACAGTAACTAACTTCATTCTGGAATTAATGCAATAAGTAGCTGCTGATGATTTCTATCATATCGCCATGCCACAATTTAAACAATGCAATACATAGCTATCGTAACGCTTTGCGATACCAAGTACTTTATTGGTCTCTATGTTCTATGTAGCTCGTACAAATCTGTCGTTCACAACAGCAATGGTAGCACCTTGCACTGCACGATTGTAACAAATCTGAAAAGTTAAATTTAAACTCAGTTTAAAGGATTTGCGCTCTCCAAGTACGGCCATTTCGTGGTTGGGCATCTCTCTCACTTCCGTTCCTGACTGAACATTTTCGCAGTTTTCCTCTTTCTCTCCTGCAAATTCCAGGATAGTTGTATGACTTGAGGTTTTCACAGCGGTGAGTATGAAGATTTCTGTCTTCTGGGGTGTTGCGCCGTCTAAATGTTTGCCAAAGTTTCAGAGGTCATACTGCCCTGATGACGGAGGCAGTATGACCTCCGAAACTTTAGTAAACATCTGCCCTACTACACGGCGCAACAACCAAGAAGACTGAAATCGCCAGGATAGTTCCTTGAATTATATCACGACAGTTTCCTTTCCAATTCATTATTCACCAAGTATACTATCATTCAGTGGCTAAATAATCTGGGCGATTGAAAGTGAAATAATAAAATTAATGATAACAGGCTGCATATTTGTGAGTCGACTTGTATTATTCAACATATATGCCTATAGCAATAAGTTTCTATGCGCTAAAGATCAATTTGCCTGCGCGGATCTTTGAAATTATGTCGTTCAAAGGGCGAGAAATCAGCCACCATTAAACTAGTCTCCTTTCAGGAAAGAAAATCACGAAGTTACCATCTTACAAAAATTACTCTCTGCAATTGTAATTTTCCTTTGGAGAATTATGTGCAATATGTTCTGTCCCCATGGACATTAGCGTCAAGAGATTTTCCCCGCTCCCCTTCCCACACATGGACTGTAATTCAGAAATACTGATTTTCTTATTCTGTTAGTGCTTAATGCTAATTTTGTTCTTTTAAATACCCCACTTATAAATTCGAGTTCATTCGTACCGGCACAGTTAAAAAAAAAGTGGCTACAAAATCAAAACGCCAACGTCCTACTTGGTTTTAGTTCTCCTTCCATACTTTAATAAACTAAAGGAAAAATATACTGGAACATGTTTTGATGGATATGTAATTTCGTGTTTTACAGTAATTATATACACACTAGCGCAATGTTCTTATAAAGCATGAAAACCAGGGTTTACTTTGAAGGTAGCATCTAAACCCATTTCCTACAAACAAATTATATATCAGAGACAATTTCATAATTATTGAAATTAATAACTTTAATTGTTAACATCAGACGGCCATCGGTTCGCACCTCAGATTTTCGTCGTTTCTTACTTTACAGATTAAAACTGGAACAACAGGACCCGCCTAAAATTGGCCAGAACCGCTTGCCATCCCTTACAGAATTTTTTATAAGTTGTGTACAAGCATCGAAATTATGACGAGTTTAATTACAATACCACTAATTTTGTTGTTCGTGTATTTCCTACTAATTGTTTCTGACAAATTTAATATCTACTCTATAAAATAAGTAAACAAACAACTATTAACACTATAAAAAGACACTAGTGCCATACGCGTTTCAACCTCAAAAGGTCATCATCAGTGGCATCAAGGAAATTAATTCATTTAATTCATAGTTGTTTGTTTACTTATTTTATATTCTAATACACTACACGGTATGCAAAGTTTTAAGATTAATATCTACTCCTTGCTCAACTGGTCCCTTTCCCTCTGATTACGGGCCACATTGTGCTTCTGAATCCTTATTTCGATCTTCTACGCCTGTTTAATGATAATTACATATCCCACAATGTGTTTGTGGGTCTGCCAAAACACGTCCTTCTTTCGTCCCCCGTCACACCAATCTGGCCTCCATCCCGTACTACACTACAACAAACCACACGAGCGATTTAGAAACATTGATCCAGTTGTAACTTTACCAGTCGATAAGAAGGTGGCAAACCTTGTTCCGTTGTGCTCTGCCTGCACTGTCCTAGCATTTTTCCTGATCCATTACATCCTACTAATGCCTTATCTAAAGATATATGACTGGGTAAAAATTCCTATGGTGGGAAGGTTTAATCTCGTTGATTAATATATCAGCACTAATGATATCGATAGTAATAGTGACAGCAATAATAACACATAATATTGACAAAAACAATGGTAATAATAATGTGAATTCAGTGTCCAAAGTACTTACTTTTCAGCACCACAGAATATTTATCAAATGATCAATAACTGCTATAAATCCCACTGGTTACACCTACGAATATTACCGAATGACATCATACATATCATTCGTTTTGCTCTTCACGATACAATAAGTCATAACGTAGAACTTTTCCCCGAAATATGTACCTGCATACATAAACCACGATTAATGAAAACATATCTGTTCTCACTGACATTTGTAGCATTTTACATTCGTGAAGTCACACAATGATGTAACGCTATTTTTAAAACACACGTGTGTTGATGTCGCTGCGAGCTTTTGCGGGGTTCTAGCCTTGCCGATACGGCGGCAGGGGCTTGTAGTCAGGACCACACGAAATGATGATGTTACGAACAATGGCGGCGCGACTGTGACTATTCGTTCCCCGGGCAACCGAAGCTGCTCTCAAGCGCAAGTCGGATAGAGGCAGCCCACTAGCTCGTTAAACAAGCAGCAACGCAGAATCACGACCCACCGTCTCAGTGAAAGCAGATCTACAACTTTCCATACCCTGCACATAGTCAACTTGAATACATGCAGCAAACCATTTGTCATTGGTGTTCTCAGTCACTGATATTTACATAGCTATCATAGACAGCTATCTGATTTTATTAACTATTAGTAGTTTACTTACATTACGAAACTCCATGGATTCCAAAATTACTGTTTCCCGGCAATGTGTTCACAGATCTGGTAGGTGAAGGTTATGTATTCTTCATCGAATAGGACTGCTAACAGAAAGATTGACAATTTGTGTTTACAAAGTTCGAGTTGCCTTTGTAGCTTCTTTATTAATTTAAAATTTGTAAGAAACATAGTAATAAACGATAATAATAACAAGGAAGCCACGTATCATAAGAAATTTGAAGTTTTCGCTTAATACACAACGAATATTAAAACTGAAACTTGCGCCAATAATATCGAACGTAAAAAACAATCGCATAGCAATGACAAGTTCTTTCAGCCCATAGTGAATTATCGTGCACTCTGGAGTGAAAAGATGAAATTATATTGATAGGTGTAGTGGGGTCCGCAGTGGCCGCCTGGTATGGGGCGTGGGTTTTGTGCCGCTTGGGAGGAGGGACCGTGGGTTCGAATCCCACTCAAGCCATGGATGTTTTTGTGTTATGCTGTCCTGTGTACAGGTAGAGGCCTTGCGACGGGCCGATCCCTCGTCCAAGGAGTCCTACCGAATGTCCATAGATCAAGCTAACTGAAAAAGTTGGGGACCCGGAAAATGTACAAATATTGTTAAACCGGAAAAAGAAGAACAATAGGTGTAGCGATGCGATCTGCTGGTAGCTAAGTTACTCTTCCCGGCTACATGAGAAGGTCCTTTAAAATTTAATTTAGTACAGACAAATTTACTTCTTAACCAAACTTATTTTCTAAAATGCTAACATCCATTCAGATGTTATGGTTTATATTCAGAGAGTGGAAGTGGAAAAAGTGAGAAATTTAAAAAGGGTTGAAATCCTACATATTACAACATACATTTTCCCGTAGATAAATCATCTCATATTAATTAGTAGAATGTAATAATATGAATGTTAATGTGATGTTTTAGTAGGTGTGTTCTTTGTATTGTGGTAAAATTGATTGAACTTGTGAGCCATATATCTAAAAGATGTATCCTATGACAAAAGTATGACTAAAAAGGATGAATAATAATTAAATTGAATTGAATTGTTAACCTATGCATGTATGTAAGTGTGTGTATGCCTTTGTATATCATTTTGAACTAGAAATGTTTGATGTGTCTGACTATAATGTCTAATCAACTTTCAGCACCATATAACTGAAGTCATGTTTATATTGTAAGTAAACACATTTTCATATACTAGTAATAATTAGACTTATAGACTGTTATTTATATTGTACAAACTTGAGAGATGATTGCTAATAAACACATTTCTATTTTACTGACTGTAAATCAGTAAAAGTTGAAAACAAATATTCTGTATCATATTGATGATGATGATGATTGGTTGGGGGGGGGGGGGGGGGGGGG